AAAAAAAAAAAAAAAAAAAAAAAAAAAAAAAAACAACCCAAATACTTATGTATTTGCATAATTTTTTTATATGCGTAAAAAGGAAGAAATTAGAAAAAATAAAAACCTGAAAGAACACTGAAGTAGAACTTTTTGTTGACAGTATTTTGTTGATCTGAAAATGTATTGCATGACCCTTCCAAAAAGCGGTCAGAACAAAATCCGTTGGTGATGAGATACTGTCGCGAACCTGAAACAAGCGAAAACCTTAATTGAACGTATATATCTTTTTTTTCTTTTGACAAAATTGGTGTTAATAAGTTCTGAAATTTTTTCTATAATATATGAAAAAATTTATTTAGTGCAATTTTCGTCGTCTAAAAATTTTTTACTATAAGAAAGCGACTGAGACAACCAAAGAAAACTCTTAATTTATTAACCTATTAAAGTTTTTTTTTTTTTCAATGTTCAAACAGTTTATACGGTATATTCTTGACTTTCCCACCAGTTATGGTATCCAAATTATAACCGGCTATTAGACTCGCCATTAAGGGTGTATCAGGTGAATGAGATAGAACAACGACAATAGCAACAAATCAAGACGAACAAGGAACATTTGTTACAAACATAGAAGAGCAACAACAAAAAAAAATGCATTAGCCATTATTTCAATAATACCTGATTTTTTGTCATAAAATATAGAGTAAAAACAACACCAAAACAAAAAAAGAAAAAAAAAATTGGCGGAAAATTTGACAAAAAAATTATTACCATTTTATTTTTGTTCTATTAATAAGTTGAAGAAGACCTTGAACTTCTAATTTATAATGACTTGCTGTAAAAACCAAGATGTATCAATCTTGTTTAGCTTATAATTTGCATTTTTGGAACAGCAACATAAATTCCTCATCAAATAAGTTCTTTCTTTTTTCTCAGTATATTCAGAGATAAGAAGAAACAAAAAAAAAGGAAAAAAAAAAGCCAAAAACTATTTTCCCGATGACACTATTCCAAAACGCTGTTGTCAAATATGTATATTTTCCATTGCCAGAAAAAAAAAAAGCAAATTTATTTAATTAGTTTCTTATAAATCCTACTTTTTTTCTTTCGTTACTTCCACAGAAACAAAACCAATATTAGTGGCTCCTATAAGCTGCTGACGTGTGCCAAATTTGGATACCAACAACCGTTTAACATCGCCTGTATCACACCGGGGCTATTTTCAGCGTTTTTTTCTTACCCCACGCCACCATTTCCAACTCGCACTCCC